CCCTGGATGTGTTCTCGGGCTGCGGGGGGCTGTCGGAGGGGTTCCACCAGGCAGGTGAGCAGCTGGGTGGTTGTGCGGCACCCCCCTCAACCCCGGGGCGAGCCGGGTGCAAGGCTCAGTGCACGCCCACCTCTTGGCCCTCCCCCCAGGCATCTCCGAGACGATGTGGGCCGTTGAGATGTGGGAGCCGGCGGCCCAGGCGTTCCGCCTCAACAACCCGGAGTCCACCGTGTTCACGGAGGACTGCAACGTGCTGCTCAAGCTGGTCATGGCTGGCGAGAAGACCAACTCGCTGGGCCAGAGGCTGCCGCAGAAGGGCGACGTGGAGATGCTGTGCGGCGGGCCGCCGTGCCAGGGCTTCAGCGGCATGAACCGCTTCAACTCGCGCACCTACTCCAAGTTCAAGAATTCGCTGGTGGTCTCCTTCCTCAGGTAGACGGGCGGGCCGGGAGCACACCCCCGACAGTCCCAGCGGCCCTGGAGCGGGTGGGAGTGACGGCCCCTGCGCCCCGTCTCCCCTCGCAGCTACTGTGACTACTACCGGCCCCGCTACTTCCTGCTGGAGAACGTACGGAACTTCGTGTCCTTCAAACGCTCCATGGTCCTCAAGCTCACCTTGCGCTGCCTGGTCCGCATGGGCTACCAGTGCACCTTCGGCGTGCTGCAGGTGCGTGGCTGGCGGGCAGGGCACGGGAGGCCAGCGCCCTGGCTGAGCTGGCAGTGCCTGGGGGAGGGGGTGTGCTCACGCCCCCCTGGAGCCTGCAGGGGGCTCAGCGGCCACAGGGACCCCCACCCCAGGAGTTAGCCTGCTCGGTGAGTTAGGGACCCGCCCAGACGCACCGGGCTGACCGTGTGTCCGGCTCGCAGGCTGGCCAGTACGGCGTGGCGCAGACCCGGAGGCGGGCCATCATCCTGGCCGCGGCGCCCGGCGAGAAGCTGCCCCTCTTCCCGGAGCCTCTGCACGTGTTCGCGCCCCGGGCCTGCCAGCTGAGCGTCGTGGTGGACGACAAGAAGTTCGTCAGCAACATCACCAGGTGCGAGGCCCCCGGGGGAGTTGGGTGTCGGAGGCTCAGGGATCCCAGTGCCCCGAGGTCCAGGGCATCCAGGTGGCCCCCCGGGGGCCAGGAGCCCCATCTGGGTCTCCCACGTGGTCGCAGGGGCCCCAGCCCTCTAGCCGTCTTGTGCCTTACCAGCTGCATTAGCCGGGAGCTGGAGTGCCTGGCATGGTGGCGTTGCAGGTGGTGACCGGACTTGTAATGCCACATCCCTGGTGTGAGTGAGCGTTGGCAGGGCTGTGGGGGCCGAGGCTGACAGCCTGCTCCCCTCGGCCTGCTGCAGGTTGAGCTCCGGCCCCTTCCGCACCATCACGGTACGGGACACTATGTCTGATCTCCCGGAGATCCGCAACGGGGCCTCGGCGCCCGAGATCTCCTACAATGGCGAGCCACAGTCCTGGTTCCAGCGGCAGCTCCGGGGCACACAGTACCAACCCATTCTCCGAGACCACATCTGCAAGGTAGTGCCCCCCCAGCACCCTCGGCAGGGCTGAGTCCTCCCACGCCGGCACGTCCCTGCTGCTCCACCGCCCGTGGCATCCCAGTGCTGTGGGCGGGGCTCGCCTTGGGGTGTGAGCTGGGGGTCACACGGCAGGTGACGGCAAGGCCTGCCGCTCCCTCCCAGGACATGAGCGCCCTGGTGGCCGCCCGGATGCGGTACGTCCCCCTGGCACCTGGCTCCGACTGGCGTGACCTGCCCAACATCGAGGTGCAGCTGGCCGACGGCACACTGGCCAAGAAACTGCGCTACACGCACCACGACCCCAAGAACGGCCGCAGCAGCACGGGCGCCCTCCGCGGCGTGTGCTCCTGCGCGGAAGGTGGGGCCCGCGGCGGGAGGGCAGGGCGCCAGGCCCCTCGCTCTGCCCGCCCGCCCCGTGACTGCAGCCCCGCCGCTGGCTTCTCTTGCAGCTGGCAAGGCCTGCGACCCCATGGCCCGGCAGTTCAACACGCTCATCCCCTGGTGTCTGCCCCACACCGGGAACCGGCACAACCACTGGGCCGGCCTGTACGGGCGGCTCGAGTGGGACGGCTTCTTCAGCACCACCGTCACCAACCCCGAGCCCATGGGCAAGCAGGTGGGTCGGCGTCGGGGTGGGGCCCGGGCCCCTCGGCCCATGGCCAGCGCCTGACCCACCGTGCTCCTGGCTCCGTTCCCGCAGGGCCGCGTGCTGCACCCGGAGCAGCACCGCGTGGTCAGCGTGCGGGAGTGCGCCCGCTCCCAGGGCTTCCCGGACACCTACCGGCTCTTCGGCAACATCCTGGACAAGCACCGGCAGGTGGGGAATGCCGTGCCGCCCCCTCTGGCCAAAGCCATCGGCCTGGAGATCAAACAGTGTCTGTTGGCCAAGGCTCGGGAGAGCGCCTCAGGTACCCGGGCCGGGCAAGTGGGAGTGGGGGTGCACAGCCGGCCACGGGCCCGGGTGACCGCCCCTCGTGTCTCCCTGCAGCCAAAATCAAGGAGGAGGAACAGAGAGTCCTGGACTAGTCTGGCTGCCCGTCCCTGGGAACCTGCGGCACCCGCCGCCGTCCTGCGTCTCGGGTGGAGCCTGCTGGCTCAGACGAGCACCGCTCAGACATGCCGTCCGCGACCACGGCCGGCCTGAGCGCGCGTGGGACTCGCTGACCGGCTGGCGGCTTCACGGTGGCCCCTGTGTGGTCTCCTGTATGCGCTCTGGGTTCTTAAAGGTTTTTATATGCATATCAAATTGCCACCACTTGGGTGGGAATGAAGACTTTATGTAGTTTTTGTATGTTGTAATATTTCAAATAAATCTCTCCCTTAAATCGCTCTGGGGGTCAGCTCGTGACTGAGGCGAATGGGGGAGCACAGGTGACACGATGCGTCTTGGGGGTGTCGGCTCCTCCTGGGTTCTGGGCAGCGAGAGTCGAGCTGGCACTGTGTGCCTATCAGTGAAAGGGTGCCAAAGGGCAGGAAGTGATGCTGGTGACACAGCAGCCACTTTGTGACCCCAAGGACGTCTGGGGCCATTGCACTGGGTCTTGGGGTAAGGGGGCCGGGGTCGCCGCAGAGCTGGGCGTCCTCCGCTGTAGTTCCAGCTCAGTCTGTACTGTTGGGTCCTGAACCTAACAGACTTCTGCCAGCAAATGGGATGCAGATGGAAGGGTTTGGGTCGTTTCACAAGAACTTCAGAAACGAAGCAGCGGGCCTGGTGTGGTGGCCTAGCGGCTAAAGCCCTTATCTTGAATGCACCTGGATCCCATATGGGCGCCGGTTCTAGTCCCGGCGGCTCCATTTCCCATCCAGCTCCCTGCCTGTGGCCTGGGAAAGCAGTGGAGGACGGCCCAAAGCCTTGGGACCCTGCACCCGCGTGGGAGACCCAGGAGAGGCTCCTGGCTTTGGATCTGCTCAACTGTTGCAGCCACGAGGGAGTGAACCAGTAGATGGAAGATCTGTCTCCTTCAAAATGACTTGAAAGGCAGAGTGTCAGAAAGTGCTGATCCACCACTGGCTCACTCCCCAGGGGACCCAAGAGGCAGATGTGGACCGGGCCAAAGCCAGGGGCTCCATCCAATCTCCCCATGGGGGCAGGGCCCGAGCACTGGGCCCTCCTCGGCCGCTTCCCCAGGGTCCCCTGTGGGTGCAGGGGCCCTCCTCAGCCGCTTCCCCAGGGTCCCCCGAGGGTGCAGGGGCCCTCCTCGGCTGCTCTCCCAGGCCCAGTAGCAGGGTGCTGGATTGGAAGTGGAGCAGCTTACCCAGTGTGAGACCTGGAAGTTCCTGGCTGCTGAAATTGCCCTCACCTGACCCTGGCTGTCCTGGCCATTTGGGAAGTAAACCAGCAGATTGAAAACCACTCTAACTCCGCCTTTCAAATACATACTTGAATCTGAGGAACTTTACTCCCACAGCCCACAGGAGTAACAGCAGCCTAGTGGCCTAGCAGTGCCCTACTGGGTCTAAAATGGCCTCGAAGATCTGTGTGCCCCCCATCCAGATGGCCCTCTGGCCAACCAGCTGCTGGGGCGGAGTGGTGCAGGCATGGGGCAGGAACCCTGACAGGCTGCTCACTACCGCACCAGCTCCACTCACCCCTTGGGCGAAAAGCAGTTACTGCAACGCGGAATCACAGTCAACGTAATGACACTTAATTTCCCCTTCATAAAAGAAATTATGTTGTCAGGAATAAGATTTTATCTGGGTTGCCCAATAGAGCGAAAAATACCTCTGCCCCAACGAGCCAGTTTTCTTGTCCCCTCTGGGGTCATCTGGCTCCTACTCAGATGCTGTGTTTGTGAGAGAGAAGGGGTTGTTGGCACACTGCTTTATGATACCAACTGCTAGACTGGCAGACTGGTATAGTAGGTAAAGCTGGCATCCCATGTGCACTGTGGTTCGAGTCCCAGCTGCCCCACTTCCCACCCAGCTCCCTGCTGTGGCCTGGGAAAGCAGTGGAGGACGGCCCACAGCCTTGGGACCTGCACCCACGTGGGAGACCCGGAAGAGGCCTCTGGCCTCAGATTGGCTCAGCTCTGGCTCTTGTGGCCACTTGGGGAGTGAACCAGCAGACAGAAGATCTTCCTCTTTCTCCTCTCTGTATATCTGACTTTGCAATCAAAATAGATAAATCTTTGAAAAGATTAGAGTAATTCCTGGCACACAGTGCATTAATTCATATTTTGCATTTTTTAATTTGATAAGTAGATGTTCCATCTGACAGCTTACTATTCCTAAATACCCATAGTAGCTGGAGCTAGGCCAGGCAGCACCCAGTCAGGGTGCCTGCAGGGGCGTCTCCCCTTTAGCCAGCACCCAGCCGGGGTGCCTGCAGGGGCGTCTCCCCAGCACCCAGCCAGGCACCTGCAGCTCCCCAGGGCGCCGGGAGCCCGAGGGGCGCTCCCTCCGTCCCGCAGGGGGCGCTGTGAGCACAGAGGCCGGGCCGCTCTGGGCGGCGAGGCGGCCACAGCGGAAGTCTCGCAGCCCCCGACTTCCGCCCTCCTGCCGAGCTCGGGGCTGCGTGGAGGAGACGGCGATGCCGACCGGGGACTTTGAGTGAGTCCGGGGGCGGTGTGGGGGCGGCGTGGGGCGCCCCGGCGGCCCCGCTGACCGCTGCCCTGTCTCCCCGCAGCTCCAAGCCCAGCTGGGCCGACCAGGTGGAGGAGGAGGGCGAGGACGGTGAGTGCGGCCGGACTTGGGGCGTCTGGGGTGTGGAAGTGTCCCGGCTGCGGTGAGGGGGCGCGGGGCCTGGGGCCCCTTCCCGCCGGGGGACCCACCTTCCTTCCGGGGGACCTCCATCCGAATGGGGGGCCCTGGGGGCACGGCTTCCCCCCCTGGGGACCACCCTTCCTGTTCCGTGTCCCCCATACACCTGCGGAGTCCCGCCCATATGTCTGTGGGTCCCCCTTCCTCCCTCTGTGTCCCCCATATGTCTGTGGGTCCCCCTTCCTCCCTCTGTGTCCCCCATATGTCTGTGGGTCCCCCTTTCCTACCTCTGTATCCCCCCATATGTCTGTGCGTCCCCCTTCCTCCCTCTGTGTCCCCCATATGTCTGTGGGTCCCCCTTCCTCCCTCTGTGTCTCCCATATGTCTGTGGGTCCCCCTGTATCCCCCCCATATGTCTGTGGGTCCCCCTTTCCTACCTCTGTATCCCCCCATATGTCTGTGCGTCCCCCTTCCTCCCTCTGTGTCCCCCATATGTCTGTGGGTTCCCCCATATCCCCCTATGTCTCCCATATGTCTGTGGGTCCCCCCTTCCTACCTCTGTCCTCCATATGTCTGGGCTCCCCCTCCCTCTGTGTCCCCCCATATGTCTGTGGGTCCCCCCTCCGTGTCCATCACGTTTGTGGGTTCCCCCTTCCTCCGTGTCCCCACATATGTCTGTGGTTCCCCCTTCCTCTGTGTCCCCACGTGTCTGTGGGTTCCCCCTTCCTCCCTCTGTGTCCCCACATTTGTCTGTGGGTCCCCCCATATCCCACCATGTCTGTGGGTCCCCCCTTCCTCCTCCTGTGCCCCCCATACGCCTGTGGGGTCCCCCTTCCTCCACCTGTGTGCCGGGCCTTGAGGGGTCCCGACTCCCCACCCTCTCCCCTGCAGACAAATGTGTCACCAGCGAGCTGCTCAAGGGCATCCCCCTGGCGACCGGGGACAGCAGCCCGGAGCCGGAGCTGGTGCCGGGGGGTGAGTGCCTGCGCCCCTCCCTCCCTGTGCCCCCTGCCCCGTGTCCTGGGGCTCAGCGCCCTCATGGTCCCCCCACTTCCTCCCAGCCCCACTGCCGCCCCCCAAGGAAGTCATCAATGGCAACATCAAGACGGTGACAGAGTACAGGATTGACGAGGATGGCAGCAAGTTCAAGGTGGGGAGGGGAGGGGAGGGCAACCCCCACGGGGAGCTGCAGGGGTGGGGTGCGGAGGGGAAGGGGTGAGGAGGGCATTCTCCGCGGAGCTGCAGGGGCGGGGCGGGGTGGGGAGGGCCCACCGACTGCCCCTCCTGTCCACAGATTGTCCGCACCTTCAGGATTGAGACGCGGAAGGCCTCCAAGGCCGTTGCGAGGAGAAAGGTGAGGTGCCCCCTTGGGGTGGGGGCGTTGGTGCAACTTGCTGCACCAACTTGGTTGGCTCTGTGAAGTCCTGGGGGCCGGGGTGAGGTGGGGTAGGGTTAGCAGTTATTCCTTTTCCGTACCCCCAAACTGCCCCTGACAGGAAAGAGCCAAGGGGCCTCTCTCGAGGGGGTCCTGGCAACTCTCCCTGCCCCGTCAGTAGCTCACCCACAGCCCGCCTCCTATGGGATGGGTCACCCCCGGGGTTAGTGGGGACACAGGTGCAGCTGCGGGGGCTTCTGGCTCTCTCTGGGCGCCTGCCCACTCGCCCACCCCTGGCTCACATCTCTTGACCGCCTTGGGCGCTGGCATGGTGCTTCGGCTAACCTGGGCTCACAGAGCAGGGCCTGCCGCCCCCTGCCATGCTGCGGGCGCTGTCGCCTGTCCTTGCCTGACCTGGGCCGTGCCCACTCTGTGCCTGTGGCCAGAACTGGAAGAAATTTGGGAACTCAGAGTTTGACCCGCCAGGGCCCAACGTGGCCACCACCACGGTCAGCGACGACGTGTCCATGACTTTCATCACCAGCAAGGAGGTGCGTGTGGGGGACAGGGTGTTGCTGAGGCCCGGGGCTGTTGGGGGACAGGGTGGAGCTGAGGCTCGGGGCTGTGGGGAGGGGTGGTTCTGGGGGCTGGGGCGTGTCCTCTGAGCGCCCCCCCCCCCTGCACACACGCCCTCCCCTGTCCCTGGGGGTCCCCTTGAGCACCCCCACACCCACGCCCTCCCGTCCGCAGGACCTGAACTGCCAGGAGGAGGAGGACCCCATGAGCAAGCTCAAGGGCCAGAAGATTGTGTCCTGTCGCATCTGCAAGGGCGACCACTGGACCACACGCTGCCCCTACAAGGACACGCTGGGGCCCATGCAGAAGGAGCTGGCCGAGCAGCTGGGCCTGTCCACCGGCGAGAAGGAGAAGCTGCCTGGAGGTGGGGGCCAGCGACTTCATGGCTGTGGGGTTCACACGGACTATGCACCCCAAGTCCTTGAGCAGGGTTTGCTGGTAGCATGTTGGCTCTGGGTGGCCCTCTGGTCCCGTGTGGGGACCCTGGGGCATGAGGCGCTGGCCTGGCCTGACACGCTGCTGCTGCTTGGTCTGCAGAGCTGGAGCCCGTGCAGGCCGCCCAGAACAAGACTGGCAAGTACGTGCCGCCAAGCCTGCGGGACGGCGCCAGCCGCCGGGGCGAATCCATGCAGCCCAACCGCAGAGGTGAGGGGGCCGGGCAGGGCTGGGCCGGGCCCCTGGGCGTGGGCGGGCACTCCTGGGCCCCTGACCCTGAACACCTGCCACACAGCCGATGACAACGCCACCATCCGTGTCACCAACCTGTCGGAGGACACGCGAGAGACTGACCTGCAGGAGCTCTTCCGTCCCTTCGGCTCCATCTCCCGCATCTACCTGGCCAAGGACAAGACCACCGGCCAGTCCAAGGTGGGCGGGCGGCCCTGGGGGACGGGGTGTGGGGTGTGGGGTGTGGGGGCGCTGTGGCCCTGACTTGCCTCTGTCTCCAGGGCTTCGCCTTCATCAGCTTCCACCGCCGTGAAGACGCTGCCCGCGCCATTGCTGGGGTGTCAGGCTTCGGCTACGACCACCTCATCCTCAACGTCGAGTGGGCCAAGTACGTCGCCCCCTGCCCGGCCCCAAGCCCCTCGCCCCCTGCCAGGCACGCATTCTGGGAATCAGCTCTTTATTGGGCAGTTTGCACACCTCTGGGGGAGACATGTCAGGATCCAGAGACCCACAACCTCATGTCACCCCTCCTCTCCCCAGGCCATCCACCAACTGAGCTGCTTGCTGCCGCGCCTCTGCTGGGACGCTGTGCGACATGCTGCCGTGGGGCGGGGTCTCTGAAGGCAGTAAAAACCTTGAAGCGGCTGGCGTGGACTGTTGTGTCACTGCGGCTGTGAGCTTTCTGCGTGGGCGGTCAGGCACTGCTCCGGGGGTTTGGGAGTGGCCACAGGCTCCAGGGCCATACCTGGGCCGGAGCGCTGGCCCTGGGCGGGTCTGGGGTGGCATGGGCAGCGGCAGCAGCCCAGGCTCGGGGCCACGGCCATATAGAGCAGAGGGTGGATGCACACGGCCAGCGGCGTGAGCACACGCATCACCTGGAAGGCCAGGTAGGGCCCCAGCTCCAGGGCCTGCACGGCCTGCTCCACGCTGGTGAAGTGCGGGCAGCGGGCCAGCCAGCGCCGCCGGGCGTCCACGTTGAGCACCTGAGTGATGTGGTAGGGCACATAGGAGCCGGCGTACAGGGCCACCCCGCCGGCCACCAGCGCCACCACCCGCAGCTTCTCAGGCGCGGTCATGCTGGGGCTGCGCAGCACGTCCCGGCCCAGGGCCCCATAGGCCAGCAGCGTGAGCAGCAGGGGCAGACCGCCGCCCAGGATGGCCAGCACCAGGCTGTAGACCCTGTAGGCCCCCAGCCGCTCGTCTGGAGCCGTGCCCAGGCACTTGGTGCAGGCCTCAGGAGCTGTCCCCTGTCTTGGTAAATGGCTGTCCTGGCTCTCCAGGCGGGAGAAGCTGAGTGTAGGCGCGGCCAGCAGGATGGCCAGGGCCCAGCCGGCCGCGCTCGCGGCCCAGGCGTGCTTGGGCCGCACGTGGCTGCGGGTGTAGAACGGGTGCACGACGCCCAGGTAGCGGGTGAGGCTGATGCAGGTGACAAAGATGACGCTGCCCAGCAGGTTGCAGGTGAAGAGAAAGCGCTCCAGCAGACACGCCGCGGCCCCATAGCGCCAGTGTTTGGGCGGGTACAGGTAGGCGGCCATCGGGGGCAGCGTCAGGGCATAGAGCAGGTCGCTGATGGCCAGCTGGGCCGAGAAGACCACGGCTGGGCTCCAGGGCCTCGGCTCCCGGGTGCTGAAGCGGTACAGGGCCAGACTGTTGCCAGCCATGGCCACCAGGAAGGTGGCCACCAGCAGGGGCCACAGGAAGTCCTCCTGGAACGCACTGAGCTTGAGGGCAGCCGGGGTGGAGAAGTTGGTCGGGCAGGGCCTGCCACCTGCAGGCAGAGGACCACCAGCTGGAACCCAGGACTTCCCCAGCACACCTGACCTCAGCCCTGCCAGTCACGTGGCCTGCAGTGGCAATGCTGCCTTCCTGGCAGGGACCTCAAGCGTGGGGGTGGGGGTGTGCCCCAATTCTCCCCAAGTGTGGGAGAGCGCTCCCCAAATTTGACCTGGCAGCAGGGAGGGGCACGGCCCACATGGGCCTCTCCCCTGCACACAAGGCCCAGCCCAATCCCTGGGCGTGGAGAGCAGGTGCCCTGCTGCCTGAACCCTCCTCCCAGCACTGGCTTCCCCCTGGCTCCCTGAGCAAGTGGGGGCTGGCCCCCTGCCCACAGGGTGCAGCCCCTGCCCGCCCAGCTCCTCACCTGAGCTGCCCGCCATGCCGCACAGCCTGCAGCCCTCCAGCCCCTCCTGAGCCAGCAGAGCGGGTCAGACTGACTTCCTTCCGCATCGCCCCCGCCTGCCCGGCGCACCCTCCCCCAGGGGAGGTGCCAGCCACAGGCCGGCCCTAACCCTCCCCACGCTGTGACCAGGAGACTGACACAGGGCAGGCCAGTTTAAGCCCTTTATTGGGGTGGGGAGCAGCTCCTTTATGAAAGGAAACCGAGGGCCGCGTGGGTGGCTTCTCGGGCCCCAATCTGGGGCATCCTGGGCACCTCGCAATCAGGGGCCTCACTTGGGGGGCCTGGCTCGGCCTCGCCCACGCTCCCGAGCAGCCCTGCCGGGCCCCTGCTTGGCACGGGCGCCCTGTGGACGACCCCAGGGTCTCGCGGGCCTGCGGTCAGCACCCGGACGGCCTCGGTCTGACTTGGGCTCTTTCTTCAGCTTCTGCTTTTTGCCAGGAGGCCCTGGGGGGCGCCGCCGCCTGGCAGCACCGGGGAACATGTCTGTGGAGGCGAGCAGAGGGGTCAGGATGCCAGCCCACCCGCTCCACCCGCCTGGCTGCCCTCCAGGGCTGGCCACTCACCCTCGTCAGGCTCCTCGCCCACAGCCTGGCGGAAATACTCAGCTTCGTCCTCCTCTTCCTCATGCTGCGCGGCGCCCTGCTCGGCCTCGGGCGCCCCTGGGTCCTCGGCGTCACTGTCCCCGTCAGCGCGGGCCCTCTTCATGCCCTTCAGGCTCTTCTTCCTGGGGTGGCAGGCAGCTCAGCAGGGCTGCAGGGTGGGCAGCCCGCCGGGTCCCCCCAACCCCACACACCTGTGTGCCTCGCGCTGTTCCCGCTTGCGCTGCACGTTCTGGGCCTGCTGGGCCTGCCGCTGGGCCTTGAGCTGCAGCCGCTGCTCCTTGGCCGCCAGGATGGCCTGCAGCTCCTCCTCGCTCTTGTGCACTGGGAGGGGACGCTGCTGGCTGAGACCCGGCCCGCTCGGCCCATGCAGCGGCCCACCCTGGCCCCCAGCCATGGCCCACCCCGGCCTCACCGAAGCTGTGGAACAGCACGTTGCCCTCGCCCACACCCTCCTGGATCTTGATGAGCCGCAGCGTCATCCGGGGGCCGATCTGGGGGGTGAGGAGGGCGTCAGGCGTGCCCCCCGGGGCTGGGTGCTGCCGAGACGCCCCCCTCCAGGCGCACCTCAGTGAGCCGCACGGCGCTCTGCTGGGCCCGCATGTTGCCGCGCCCCGCCACGGCCTGCGGCAGCTCTGTAACGTTGTGCTCCCCGTCCGGCTCGGCCTCACTCTCGGACAGCCCTGCACCCCTGTGGGGGACAGTGGGGCTCAGCGGGACTCGGCGGGGGCTCCCAGGCCTCGGGCCCCCACCCGGAGCCCCGCTCACGTGGCCAGCAGCTCGCTGATGTCCTGCAGGCGGCTCATGTTGGGGAACTTCTCCTGCAGCAGCTTCTTCATACCGCGGCTGGCGCCCACAGGGACCACCTTGATGCTGCTGCGGGGGGCACAGGGCCGGGTGGCGTGAGGGGCACCGGGGACCCGGCCCGCCGGGCCCCTCCCAGGAGTGCGTCAGGGCGTTTACTTTGAGACCAGGAGTCACAGACATCAGCCTCCAGCTCAGAGCTCTCATCACCCGCACTGGGGCGCCCCCGACCTGCCCACCACCCTGGGCCACTCACTAATGGCGGAAGTCCAGCTCCTGGGAGTCGGCATTGTAACTGATGAGAAGGCACCGTTTGATGGTGTTCAGATTGACCTGCCAGAAGGGGCGTGGGGGCCGTGAGCTGGCCCACTGCCCTGTCCCTGCCCACCCAATAAACACCCCGAGATACCGCGTCCCTCCTGCGTCGTAACTGTACAACCCAGATGAGGCCCTTGGCTTGGCTGAGGCAGGGCCGCGAGAAGAGCTTGACGGCCCCCACTCGTGCCCTGCCGAGGCCGTCCCGGGTGCCTGCCCCCTCCGTGGAGACACCTCAACGCCAGGGCCGCTGGGGGCCTGGAGGAGCCAGCAGACGCCGTCCGCGGCAGCCCGTCTCCCCGCAGAGCCCCACCTTGTGCACGTTGATGGAGGGGAAGAGGTTCTGGAACATGCTGGCCATGAGCTTCACGTGCATGCCGTGCGGGCCGAAACTGTTGAGCACCAGCAGGGGCGGGTGTGTGAACTGCTGCTCATGCATGCGGTGCCGGCGCAGGGAGGAGACCACGTCCCGCACCAGCGTGTACTGCGGGGTGGGGGCGGGACAGTGAGCGGTCACCGCGGGCCCCCGCCGGCCCACAGCCCTCGCCTGTCCGCCCACCCGCCCGTCCGCTCACCTTGTTGACCTGGAAGGTCAAGGTGGGGCCTCCCGGGAGACGCATCAGCTTCTGCAGGGGGGAAAGCCAGCGAGTGAGGGTGGTGGGGCGAGGGCCGGAACGGGGGTGGGGGTCCCCGTCCTCTCTTCAGAGCGTTTACTTTGAAGCCAGATCACAGCAGTTCAGGGCGAAGGGGGTCATCATGAGAGACAGACGGGGGACGAAGACGGGGTCCGCCGGAGCCCCCACTCACCAAGTACACGGCCGTCTCCGTCTTGCTCAGGATCAGGAAGTGCGTGACACCCAGCGGCCCTGCCACGGCCACGCAGTCCTTAAGGGAGTTCTTCTTTCGAACCTGGGGGTGGATCAGAGGCTCACGGCGCTGGCTCCCCAAAACGGGGTCGCTCTGCCCCACTGTCACCCCGCTTCCAGCGCCGTGTGCCTCACTGTACCCGTCCACGTACCCCGCTTCCAGCGCCGTGTACCCCACCATGCACCGTCACCCCGCTTCCAGCGCCCTGCGCCCACCGTGCCCCCTGCGCCCACCCACCTGCAGGCGCGACGCGGTGAGCGGCTCCATGGCCCTTCGCACGTCCAGGCTCAGCTGCCGGACACTGCGGCCCGCGCGGCCACGCGCGAACACGAACGAGTGCGGCTGCGCCGCGTAGGCCTCGAGGTTGCGGAGCCGCGCCTGGGCGCGCGCGCGCTTCTGGTGCCGAGACTGCGGGGGGACGGGGGCGGTGAGGGTCCGGCGCGAGCACCCCGAGATCCCGGACCCCGACCCCGCGCACCCCGGGATCCCGGACCCCGACCCCGCGCACCCCGGAATCCCGACCCCGTGCACCCCGGGACCGACCCCGCGCACCCCAGGACCCCGACCCCGCGCACCCCGGAATCCCGACCCCGACCCCGCGCACCCCGGAATCCCGACCCCGTGCACCCCGGGACCGACCCCGCGCACCCCAGGACCCCGATCCCGTGCACCCCGGCCCACGCCCCCGCGATCCCCCGGGGTCCCACACGTTACCCGCCCCGATTGCCCCATGGCGCCCGCCGCTCCACGAGGCCGCCTCGGCCCGCCTTTTCCGCTCGGCGCCTGCCTCGGCGTCCACTTCCGTCGCGGAGCCTTGACGTCACGGAGGCGCTGGAGACGCCACGTGCCAGTTCTTACGGAAACAGGGGCGGGGCCTGCGGCCAAGCTGGGGCTTCTGGAGACGAGGGTTCGAATCTTACTCCGCGCGTGTCTGCCAGCTGTGCCATTTTAGTAGCTACTTTCCGTTCCTCAGTCCTCAAGGATCTCAAAGCGACGATGACGTCCCCTCCGCTGAGGAGACGTGTTTGGCACACACACGGGGGAGCAGCCCGTGGCGAGACGGAGGGCACGGGCGGGGAATTTACGCACAGTCGTCCCGCACCACCCCCAACCCCATTCCCAGCCCCCCGGAGCCCCCCGGAGCCCCTCGCTGCGGATGGCCTGAGAGATGGAAACTGCACGTCACCCTATGGAAACAGGGCCAGGAGACGCTTGGCCCATACACTCCTCTGCCTGTTGGCTGCAAGCCCCTGCCTTGCCTCAGGCCTCTGGCTGCTTCTCCAGACCTTGCTGTGGGGGGCAGGGAGGGGACACCCCTCTTCTCAGCTTCCCCCATCTGTCATCTCCCTCACGGCCGTTCTCTCTCTGCCAATGGGAAAACCAGAGGGGCTGTGGGTGGGGAGCTCGGCCCAGCTTGGCCTGTGGTTTCGGTCTGGGACACCCATTTCCTCTCTCAGCCGCAGGCCCCGCGGGTTCCTCGGAAAGGGCTGGGGGAAGGAGACGGCCCCACAGCCGCCCCGAGCTGTGCCTCTCTGCTCGCCGGCCACCGGGCCATGCTGCACACCAGGGACCCTGCGCCTGGCCTGCGTGAGTCTCTCCCCACCCCTTTCCTGTCGCTGGCGTGCAAATGCCCTGTGTGAGAGAGCCTGGTCAAGCTGTGTGTTCGTTTGCATGTGTGTGCTTGAGACTAATTTTTTAATTTGTATTCTCCATTATACAGGTCCCCCCTCCTGCAATGATTGAAAAAAAAAATAGGTTTATTGTTCCTGCTGTGATGCTTAATTGGCTAATCCTCCATCTTCAAGTGCCGGGATCCCCTATGGGTGCCAGTTTGTGTCCCAGCTGTCCCACTTCCCATCTAGCCTGTGGCCTGGGAGAGCAGTGCAGGACGGCCCAAAGCCTTGGGACCTGCACCCGCGTGGGAGACCAGGAGGAGGCTCCCGGCTCCTGGTGCGGCTCCGGCTGTTGTGGCCACTTGGGGTGTGAACCAGTGGACGGAACATCTGTCTTCTCTCTGTAAATCTGCCTTTCCAGTAAAAATCAATAAATCTTTTTAAGAAATGATTATTTGAAAGTCAAAATAAGAGAGAGAGAGATCTCCCAGTTGCTGGCCTGCACTGGTGGCTGTGACAGCCAGGGGCTGCACCCAGGCCCCCCCTCAGGCAGCCCAAACACACGGGGTACCTTGCCCAGCCTCACCCAGGTCATCATCGGGGTGCTGAAGGGAAGTGGGGCGGCCAGAGCACCCACTGGTGTCCACATGGCAATGCCGGCGTGGTAGGCCCGCCACAGTGCAGGCTGGCATGCTGCTCGTACCCGAGTCTGTTGTCTTCAAACTTTGGATTTCTCGTTGAGAGACCGAGAGTTTGTCCTCCATGGGTTAACGTCCCTGGGGCCTGCGCCAGGAAGGGCTGGGCCAGGCCTAATCCCATGACCTGGGCTGCAAGGTGGGGAGTGCAGGAACCCGTGGAACCTGTCCAGCTCCCGTTGGGGAGCCTGTCCACGGCCATGGCTCTAGCCTGGGTGTGAGCGGGCCCGGGCCTGGGTCCCGGATTCCCCATCGTGCACCCCTTGCGTGCAGCCACCCCTCCACCCCCAGCCCCCCGTGCAGCAGCACCATGGCCGGAGGAAGGGCAGTGACCTGCCTTATCAGGCTCTGGTGGCCTGTGCTGCAGGGATCTGGTGAGTCTGCCTCCGTTCCCACACGGGAAATGCTAAATATTTACAGTTGGGGATGCTGGGGGGCTGGGGGGCTGGGCCTGGTCGGGCTCCTCCCCAGCCTGATCTCCATTGCCTCCGGCCAGTCTCGCCCCTGCTCTGGGTTTAGAGGCCCTCCTGGACGCCTGGAGTGCTGGTCCCTGCTCGCAGCTTTGCCGGACACTGGGGAGAGGTGAGAGACTGGGAATTCTGCCGGTTTACAGGGGGATCCCCCGACTTCCATCTGTCTGGGTTGGGGGGCGGGGGTCCGGGACCTTCCTTTCCCACCCCAGGCCAATGGCAGAAAAGGCACCTGCTGTTGCTGTTGGGGGGGTTCAGCCTGTCCCTGCCTCACCCTTGTGGTGCCTAGGTGGTGTGGCTGGTCCTGGATGCCCCCGGGCGCTGCCCCCCTTTCCCCTTCGCTTGTCTGCCTTCACCCCCTCCCCACCGTGCTCACGGGAGGTCAGGCTCAGCCTCTTTGCGTGTGCTGTCCCCGGGGCTGTGAGGGCTACTGCCGTCCTCTCCCTTCAGCCCTGTGGCCCCCAAGTGTTACCTACTCTGGGAGGCCTTCCCTAGCTCCTGGTGTGTGCGGCTGTTAGCATGACGTGGCACTCAGGACCCGTGGGGGTGGTCGCAGGTGCACCCAACCTGACCCAGACACGCAGGTCTCTGAGTGTGTGGGAATTCAGGTCATGGCGGGACCTGGGTCAGAACCCCCAAGGGGAGCAGCCCCAGGGACACGGGGTTTGAACCACCAGAGGGAAGCATATGCACAGACTTGGAGAGCTAAGGTACCGATGGCTCGGGGGATGCCCAGGGCATGAGGTAACTTCAGACAGGAACATGCAAAAGGCTCAGAGCAGCTTGGGGCTGGGGAACTTTAAAGTATTAGGGGCCGGCATCATGACACACGGATGAGCCACACGTGCAGCTGCCTGCGTCTGATATCAGAACGAAGATTCAAGCCCCAGCTTGTGGCCTGGGAAAGCAGTGCAGGACGGCTCAAAGCCTCGGGACCCTGCACCCGTGTGGGAGACCTGGAGGAGGCTCCTGGCTGTGGATCAGCGCAGCCCTGGCCATGAGAGCTACCTGGGGAGTGAGCCAGCAGATGGAAGATCTTCACCCCTGTCATTCTGTCGTCCATACGCATACATCTTTCATTTTACTTGGAGGGCACAGAGACAGAAGCTCCCCATGTGCAGGGTCACTCCCTCAAGTGGGGCCAGAGAGTTCTCACATGGGCAGCAGAGGCTGAGCGTGGGCATGGGCAGAGAGCTGGAATACCGGCGGACAAGGAGGGCCCTGCGGGTGGCCCCAAGCACCCTTAGGCTGCTGTGTGTGTTGGAGGCAGGGATGTCGGTAGACCCAGGTTGCAGCTCTGGTAAGCAAACTGGGCTGCTGGGAGTGGAGCAGTCGGGACGCAGGAATGCAGGGTCTAAACAGGCCTGGGGGTCAGCTCTGCTGCCTAGGAATGGGGTGGGGTCGGGGCATTCGGCCTCTCCTCCCTCCTCTGGCTCTCCCTGCTCTATGGTCGCCACCCTAAGGTGCCTTCAGTGGATCTCCGGGTCCGGGCACTTGCCCCGGTCCTGGTCACAGCCATGGCCTCCTCCAGGAAACCCTCCCTGTCTGCCCTGACCCCGTCTTGCTAGCCTCGAAGTTTCTTCCCCAATATCAAGTGTCCTCCCAAATATTGTGATCCTATAGTTGATTCTTGCTTACGGGGCAGGATTTCGTTTTTAGGGGATTGGGTATGGGGACTGGTTGGTCCCCAGGGGCCGGTACACAGCAGGCGGTCCAGCATGGTTTGATGGAGAGCTCAGGGTGCCTGGAGCTGGGAGGAGAGCCCTGGATGCTATCCACAGCCCCGTAGGTGCAGCTCCCCGCGTGTCCCCAGGCCTACACCTTTCCGACCCTCCCCTATGCCTTGCAGGTCAGCCATGGCGGCTCCCCGGCTACCGCTGCTCCTGTTGCTGGGCACGTCATGGTCATGGTCGTGGTCATGGGTAGGGGCCGGGACCCCCCGCTGCACCTACACCTTCGTGCTACCCCCACAGAAGTTCACGGGCGCAGTGTGCTGGAGCGGCGCCGCGGCAGCCGCGCCCGGGGAGGCGGCCAACGCCAGCGAGCTGGCTGCGCTGCGGCTGCGGGTGGGCCGGCACGAGGAGCTGCTGCGGGAGCTGCAACGGCGAGCCGCGGCCGACGGCGCCGTGGCCGGCGAGGTGCGCGCGCTGCGCAAGGAGAGCCGCGGCCTGAGCGCGCGCCTGGGCCAGCTGCGCGTCCAGCTGCAGCACGAGGCGGGGTCGGCACCAGCGCCAGGGCCCGGGCCTGCAGCCACCCCCGCCGCCCCCGCAGCCACCGCCGCGACCACGGCCACCCTGGCCCTGCTCGCCGAGCGCGTGCTCAACGCGTCCGCCGAGGCGCAGCACGCGGCCGCCCGCTTCCACCTGCTGGACGGCAAGTTCCGCGAGCTGGCGCAGCTGGTCAGCCAGCAGAGCGGCCTCATCGCCCGCCTGGAGCGCCTGTGCCCCGGGCAGCAGCAGCAGCAGCAGCAGCAGCAGCAGCAGGTAACTCCTGGGGGGCTGTCCATGGGCACTCAGCTTTGTCCCCCTTCGTGAAAGGCCCCAGGGACGTTAGGGAACTTGCCAAATGCGCACAGAGGGCAGCGTTACCCGCTTTCTCCCCAGAGCCAGGCGCTGGATACCTGGAGGCAGCGCGTGATGGCTCGCACCCCTGACCCCCACGTGGGAGGCCCTAGGTCACATTTCCAGGGCTCTGCTTTGACTCTTGCTTGATGTGGGCACTAGTGGGGAGCGGGCTGGCAGGTGAGAGCACCCTCAAATAAATTAGCAAACACGCTCCGTGTGCATTTCAACATTTCACACAGAAACAAATTAGTTCCTAGCGTTTGCTCACAAAAGCCAGAGAGGTGGGCATTTTCCACCCACTGGTTGGCTCCGTGAAGTTGAGCCAGGCCAACTCTGGGGGTGGGGGGTGGGTCTCCAGCGTGGTGGGAAGGGGCAGTCACCTCTGCCTCTTGGGGGCACTGTGCGTGAGCAGGGAGCCGGATTGGATGTGGAGGAACCCTCACCCCTTGACCCGCAGCATGGGCGTCCCACAGGGGCTGGGGCTCAGGAGATAAGGCTGGAGTGTGTAGCAGTGCATTTTTTGTCCAGCCTCAGGGCAGAAGTGCCAGAGTCCTTCATTTCTGGTCCATCGGGGTCTGGAGATTCCTCCAGCATCACACGGCAGACCCTGGAGCGGGGAGGGACATGGCCTCCTGGGCCGCGGGCCGGCACGGCTATAGGTGACCTTCCTCGGTGACTCCAGGTCCTGCCGCCACCCCTGGTACCCGTCGTGCCCATCAGCCTGGTGGGTGGTGGTACCAATCACACAAGCAGGAAGCCGACTCTGGCCCCGGAGGTGCAGACTCTAGGGCAGCAGGCACCCCTGGCCTCACCCGTGGCGGCAGAGCCACCTGCTGTCCCCACCAAACCCGCAGGTAAACCTTGAGGGCCCTGGGCGAGGGGCTGCGAGTCCAGCGAGGCACTGGCGGACTCCCTGGCGATGCCGCTCCCTCCATCCGCAGGCCCGTGGCGGGACTGCGCGGAGGCCCAGCAGGCAGGCCACCGGCAGAGCGGGGTGTACGAGCTGAGGCTGGGCCGGCACGTGCTGCCGGTGTGGTGCGAGCAGCAGCTGGAGGACGGAGGCTGGACGGTCATCCAGAGGCGCCAGGACGGCTCGGTCAACTTCTTCACCACGTGGCAGCAGTACAAGGTGGCTGCTGGGTGGGGAGCCTGCTCCTGACCTGCCCCCCAACCCCGCTGACCCCTGCCACACCTCACATGCACAGGTGGGCTTCGGGCGGCCTGATGGTGAGTACTGGCTGGGCCTGGAACCGATACACCAGCTCACCGGCCGCGGCGAGCACGAGCTGCTGGTGCTCATGGAGGACTGGGGAGGGCGTGGGGCCCGCGCCCGCTACGACAGCTTCTCCCTGGAGCCCGAGAGTGACCACTACCGCCTGCGGCTCGGCCAGTACCACGGCGATGCTGGAGACTCTCTTTCCTGGCACAGCGACAAGCCCTTCAGCACCGTGGACAGAGACCGAGACTCTTATTCTGGTGAGGAGAGAGCGGGGACTCTTATTCTTGTGAGGGAATGAAGGAGGGCAGAATCGTTCTCCCTGCCCACACTCACCCTCTCTGGCTTGTATCAAAGTAAGCATTTAATCTAGCAAGAGAATAAGCAAAAGAACTTTTATTCTGACAATGGGATGATGGGGAATCTAGATGAATCTACTGAAGCAAATGACTCTTACTTTGGTGAAAGCAGAGGGTGAGAGGCAGGAATGTTTTTCTAGAAAGGAAATAAAGATTCCCTCCCTTCCCCTGTAGCCTTTGGCAGACTCCTGGTTAGCAGAAAAAAAAGTCAGAGGTGTGACTTGTACTTTGGTGGGGAGACAAAGAAGGAATTAAGACTATTATGCTGAAAGAGGGCAGTCAGGACCTATATTTTGGTGAGGAGATGGAGGAGCAGGGAATGGTCAAGGCGTTTATTCTAGTGAGGGGACAAAGGATTCCACTCCTCTCTCTCCAGGGAACTGTGCTCTCTACCAACGCGGAGGCTGGTGGTACCACGCCTGTGCCCACTCCAACCTTAACGGTGTCTGGCACCGTGGCGGCCACTACCGGAGCCGCTACCAGGACGGGGTGTACTGGGCAGAGTTCCGAGGTGGCGCGTATTCACTCAAGAAGGTGGCTATGCTGATCCGGCCGCTGAGGCCGTGACGGCAGCGGGGCCCGGGGGGGAATGGGGCGCAGCGGGTGCGTATGTCAGTGGGGTCCTGGCGCTGCCCCGGCCTGCCCACACCCCAGCACAGTGGGGTCCTGGCACTGCCCCGGCCCACACCCCAGCACAGTGGGGTCCTGGCACTGCCCCTGCCCACACCCCAGCACAGTGGGGTCCTGGCGCTGCCCCTGCCCACACCCCAGCACAGCTCCATCTTGGTGTTGTGTTTTTAACAATGAGTCTCGCCCAGACGGACTCTGGTTTGTACGTGTGCGTTTGGTCACTCCTGGCGCTGGCCTTCCTCCGCCTCCTCCTCTGCTGCCGCCTCCTCGTCCTCCTCCTCCTGGAGGTCCTCCAGGATAAGGTTGTCCAGCCCCTCCAGGAGGCCACATTGGCTCAGGCACGTGGCCACGGTGGAGCCGCTGCTCACGTGCAGGCTGCTGGGGTGCAGCACCTGGGGCAGGTGGTTTTGCTTCCGGCTCTTGGGGTGAGCGCAGGACATCCCTGGCACGTGGGGCTCTGGGGGGACAGAGCAGGGCTGATGTCAGGGGAGTTGTGGGGGAGGGACCACAGGAAAGGGGGGGAGGGGACCCCAGGAGTGGGAAAGTGACATGTGCTCAAGTCAGGGCCATCAAAACAGGAAGTGAAACACAGGGCTGGCTGCATGGGGCCCGCCAGCTCCCCGCCAGCTCCCCCCAGCTCCCGGCGAGGGCTGCCCCGCCAGCTCCCCGCCAGCTCCCCGCCAGCACCCCCCAGCTCCCCGCGAGGGCGGCCCCGCCAGCTCCCTGCCAGCTCCCCCTACTGGGAGGTGCGGGGGCCAGGGCTGGCAGGGCGGGGTGTCTCACCTCGGCGGTTGTAGCAGTCAGCGGCGGAGCAAGAGTGGGTGTGGGTGCTGCGGCGGTCGGTGTCCCGGTCCCATCGTGGAGGGAGGATCCGCGTAGGGTGCACAGGAAAGCCACACCCATAGCAGGGCGACGGAGACCCCATCTGTGCCCAGCCCCTGGCGGTGGGTGGGCAGGTGGTTATCAGGAGCGTGACCGAGGCCAGGGCTGGACATGGCCAGGGCCTGGGGGTGCGGCCAGCACTCACCGGAAGTTGTGTCTACATTTTGGGCAGTGGAATTCAGCCACGCCCCACATCTTGTCACCTGGCACTGGGTCGAAGCGCCTGCGGCATTTCCGGCATCGGGACACCTAGGGAGGAAGGCCGAGAGAAGACGCTGACACCATAGCAAGGAAGGAATGGGGGCTGGGACCTCCCCTGCCCTCCCGGGGGTCCCTCGGAGGTCAGACTTAGGGTTGCAGTGTGGGGTCAGAGGTTGTAAGGATTCACCCTGCCCAGGCGGGGCAGGACTGCCGGACCCTCACCTCTTTCCGCTGGGGCACGCGGCGCCACCAGACGTGGTCACAAGAGGAACAGGCAAACTGCCTGTCCACTGCAGGAATGAGGTCGTCCTGGGCCCGTTGGAACATGCGCAGGTTGGCCTGCGTCAGCGGCAGGAGGGAGGTGGCCACCTCCTGGGGGCAGGCAGGGCAGCCGTGATGCAGGTCACCGTCCTCACCCTCCTCGTAAACCCTGCACCCACCCCAGGCAGGTTCCCCTCCCCCTGCCGCGTGGCCTCCCCTGCCGTGTGGCCTCCCCCTGCCGCGTGGCCTCCCCCGCCACCTCACTGCCCTCTCACCTGGATGTCACGGTCTTGCTTCATGTCTTCTGGGGGGTCCTGGGGGGAGATACCAGGGGGCAGAGATGGGGTGGGGCGCGGAACTTCCCTGCCCCTTCGCTGCTGAGGGAGGGGCTGCACTCTTGGCTTTGTGGAAAGCAGGTGCGCGCCCAGCCTCAGTTCTGCGGAGGGCAGCCCAGACTCGCAGCTCACCTGTTCTCTCCGCGGCTCAGGTGGGGATGCAGAAACCTGTACCCCACCTGAGGGGGCTGGCCTGGCCCCAGCTTGGCAGTCGTTGAAGTGCAGGTGGGGCCACACACACACACAGAGAGAACTCATCTATTGGTTCTCTCCCCAAATGCTTCTATCAGGGCTGGGCCAGGCTGAAGCCAGGAGCCCCATCACGCGGGTCTCCCATGTGGGTGCAGGGGCCCAGGCACTTGGCCACATGCCTCCCAGGTGCACATGTGCAGGGAGCTGCCTGGGACGAGGGGGAAGCACACTCCAGCCGCGCACCCTGATCTGGCCGCAGCTGTCCCAGGGAGCGTAAGGCTAAGCCTCCCCCACCCCCAGGCCCCTCACAGCCCCCTGGGAGGCCCCAGCGCTTCAGGCTGGTCCTTGGCCCTTGCCCTTACACAGGCACGGAGTCTCGTCCCAGCTCTGTCACTCCCCACATGGGGGGCAGTCAGAGCCCGAGCTGGGGTGACGCTGGCAGGGGTCAGGGGTGTGAACCCCCATCACTGTGTCTTGGTTTCCTTGCTTGAAGGTAAAACAGGTGATAAATGGAGCGACCCAGCCTGGGTGTTGACGGGGCGGCGTGGCTAGCAGGTCCCACACGCCACCGACGGCCAGTGCAGATTAGGGCCCGTGGCTTTAGTTCACTCTCATACAGCTGTGCCAGAGGCCACGTGGCCACGCTGCACACGGGCTGCAAGGCCAGTGCTTCATCTATTCTCCGCCATCCTGGTCTTCCCAGGCCTGCTCCCTCCTCCGTGTTCCTCAAGCAGGGGATGGCCTCCTCCAGGAAGGCTCCTCTGACTTCTTGGGGGATGGTCCCTAATGAGGGCATTGCCCTGATCCCTTGAACATAATCAGCGCTTAACAGGCACCTGCTGTTTGCAGGCTCCCAGCCCGTGGGGCTGAGAGCGGATGAAGTACAAGAGGGTACTTGGAGGGCAGGGCACGTGCTTACCTGGGCATCCAGGTCGTTACTCAGCTCCTGGCCGTCTTGCTGTTTGACCCCTGGCGGGATTAGAGGAAGGACCTTGAAGGGTGTGTGGGACCAGGCAGGGGGTCCAGCCGGGACCCTGCCGGCCACGCCCCCTCGGCAGCCCCTGGGTGTCCAAGCTCGCTCACCGTACACTATGGAGCGACCCACCCCGGTGTGATCGCTCCCGAATCTCCTCATCAAAGCACCGGCCTTCTTGGGCGACACCTTGCCATGGAACTTCTCCCGGAGGCGCCGGACGCTCTTCTCCAACTGCGGACGGAGGACAGGAGAGCCCCGGAATGGGGGGAGAGGTGAGCAGCACCCATCAGAGACGGCAGGAATTGAACTTTCCCCTGGTTCTGGCCTCGGCGCCCTCCCCCACCTCTCACCACCACGGCCATTTCCTGGAAAAACCCAAAGTCCCCACAGGCGCCGGGGGGCAGGGAGCTCCGGAGGGGATGGATGGAGCGCGCGTCCCAGCTTCCAGAGGGGCGCCCAGCTAACCCCTGGCGTCTGACCCCTGACCCCGCAGCCTCCAAGGGGAGGCTCGTGCAAGGGGAGGCCGCGCTCCGCAATCGCGGGCTGCGGAAGGCGCGTTCCAGGGCGAGGGGGCGCGAGCGCCCGCCAAGGAGGGAAGCTCCGCGATGGGGACTGGGGTACCCCGCAGCTGCCAAGCACCCCCTCGGCGCCCGGCGCTGCCCCCTGCGGGAGCGGCCGTGCCCATCGCCTACCTCCACACCGTCCTGAGACATGGTGGCGGCGCGCAGGTCCCCGCGGGGTCCGCACTGCGTGGCCCGGCCGCCCTCCTACCTGGGCGCGCCCGTCGGTCCCGCCGCCGCGCAGGGCAGGGGGCGGTTCCTGGCGGCCGGCTCCGCCCTTTCCTCCGGCCCCGTGTTTTCGCTTTCGATTCCGCCTGGTCTCCGCCCTGGCTCCGCCTCTGCACCGGCGCCCCGGCCCGGGGGTCCGCGCGGGGTCTGCGCCCTGCGGCGGAGCGCGCGCACCTTGGCGCGGGAGGCGGCGCGGCCTGCTCCGCAGTGGATCACATGTCCCCACGCTGCACGGGGTCCGCGTCTTCACGTCCCCGTGCGGGCGGGGCCGCCTCCCAGGGCCCCCAGCTCCGGCGCGCTCCGTCATCCACTGCTCCCAGTCTTGACCTGGTCCCTGGGACCTTTCCGAACCTCAGTTTATCGCTCTGCGAAATGGCCTACATCCTAGAACTGAACCCAACAGACGGCTTAGGCGCGCCTTGCGTGCCAGCTGGTCCCTGGGCCGCCCAGGGTGTGTCCACAGAAGGGGCAGGCAGGTTGTGTGAGGGACAGGGGGGTGCTTGTGAAGAACACAGCCTAATGGTGTCCCACGGCAGAGAAAGAGGGAGATAGCACTCCCATTCATTTGCTGATTGACTCCCTCAATGTCTGCAATGGCCAGGGCTGGGCCAGGCTCAAGTCCGGAGCAGGCAACTCAGTCCGAGTCTCCCACGTGGGGTGGCGGGGGTCCAAGTCCTTGAGTCCCCACCCGCCGTTTCCCCAGGGGCAGGAAGCTGGAGTTCGGAGCCAAGCCAAGGGGTTAACTGTCAAGCAAGTACCTGCCTTGGACTCTGCATTTCAAACTGCACGTTGTGAGAGGCCCTTGGGCTTCCCAATTCAAGTCCAGCACGGAGGCTGAGCAGGAAGGCCAGGGTGTGGGGCTGGGGGGAGGCGACAGGGTCTTAGCTCAGCGCATCAGAGATGGCCAGTGGGAGAAGGGGCCGTGGCTGGAGTCCCTGAGATGCAGTGGTAGCTAGGGGAAGATGCGGTGGGGAGAAGACAGGAAAGGCTGGGGGATTTGGAGGTGCAGATCTCCAGCCCCAGCTCCTACCACGCCAAGGCCGTTTGGGGCTGAGTGGTCCTTTGTACTGGGGGTAGCTCCTGCACCTGCAGGGTACTGAGCTCCGACCCTGGCCTCCATGCTTCAGCTCGTGTGGCATCTCCAACCTCAAATGTCCCCAGACGCGGCTAGGGCAAGGGCAAGTCGCTGGCGGGAAAGGAATCCGGCAATTTTTCTCCCGATTTCACACTGCTGTCAATCAACAGGCACAGGCTCCTTCGCCAGACAGGCAAGTGTTTGCCCACTGTGTACCAGCTACTACAGTATTTACGGAGAACCACGACAATTCCTCAAAAATACAACTACCATTGGATCCATCAATGCCAATAATCCCACAAGCAGCAGGCACCCCCAGGAGACCCATCTGGGCGACCGGAGGGAGGTCCCAGCACTTGACTTCTGCCTGGCCAACTCTGGCTGGGGAGTGAACCAGCAGGTGGAAATGTCTTAGAAGAGATGCTACAATGTGAGGGCTGTGGTCGGCTGTTACATTGTACCGGCTGTGGTCGGCTGTTACATTGTACCGGTCCCCCTGGGGGTGGGGGTGGTAGAGCACTCCACCTATTCAACACAAATGCCATCTTTCCCCACCTTCCAATTTGTTTAAAAAAGATGTATTTATTTTTATTGCCAAGTGAGATATGCAGAGAGGAGGAGAGACAGAAAGATCTTCCATCCACTGGTTCACTCCCCAAGTGGCCACAACAGCCAGAGCTGAGCAGATCCAAAGCCAGGAGCCAGGAGCTTCTTCTGGGTCTCCTACGTGGGTACAATGTGTCAGAATTGATGGAACAGACAAGAAGATGCTTACGGTAGAAATGATTTTATCACCATGCTTTTCGAATAATGCATATTGTCTAAGAACACAGGCTTTTATGTCCCAGAAACCCAGTGTGACAAAGACCTTGTTGCAAAGGCCAGGGTAGGCAAGTTTTTGTTAATTACTATCTTGGAGGAGACCAGCAGTCTGTAAGGTCGGGTTTTGGATATTACTTATTTTTATTGGAAAGGGATGTTAATTAAAGAAATTCAAAAGGGAAGAGCGGCATATTGGGACTTGGCTGTGTTAGTTTAAGTGCACTTAAAGGTCTTACGTTATTACGGCAGCTAATTCCCGCAGCCCACCGCTAGCCGCAACAGCAAACACGATGAGATATCAGTTCTTTATTCCAGCAGGTCGGGACTGGGGCGGGGGAGGAGGGGGAAACTGGAAGGGACATGTAACCTGCCATAGTGGCAAGGTGGAGGGCTGCCAGGGCAGGGGAAGGGAAGATGGAGGGGGACAGGGCGATGGGGAATGGCACAGCGGGAGAGCTAAGAGGAAGAGAGAGGCGGGGGAGAGAGAGGCGTCTGGGGCCCTGTGTGTCATTCAGGTGAGCCTACAAGTGGGCAGGAGCTGGGGGAAGGGACCGGGAGAGATTGGGGGGCAGAACACACACCAGCACCCGCATGGGAGTCCAGTGCATGCAAGGCAAGGCCTTTAGCCAGTAGGCTACCTCACTGGGCCCAATTCAATTATTTTGAAAAGAAGAAAAGAAAAGAAAAGAAAAATTACATGGCCAGAAACCCGGAAAGAGATCAGAGACAACAGGCATCTGAGGGGAAATGGCCTCTGGCGTGTTGTAACCCGAGCAGCCTGCAGAAAATGGCAAAGTGGATCGCACATTCCAGCAGAGAAATGCACTGACTGGGTTTGCGAAACCAGCGTCCCGTGCTTTCCCAGGAATGCGTGCTGTGCACACACCTTGAACAACCTGTTTGGGGCTCTGCTGCAATGAAGTCGCGGCCCAGGGACCCACCAGGTGGCTGTACTCTCCTTGCTCTTTAGGGCTGGAATAATACTGTTTATGTGCGGCAAAGGCTCAATGTTCCTTTATAGTTCTATGAAGCCTTCTGACAGGAGACTGGACAAGGACAGCAAGCAGTATGGGATAAAAACTATCAAGTCACTAACTTTAATAAACCTACCTGGGACTATTTTTGAGAATCCCTAAAAAGAAGATTATAGTAGAAATCTATAGCTTAAAAAGCTATACAGGAAGAAAAACTAAGAAAAATAGACAGGTTAATATTAAAACCAATGTAAGGCACAGGACGCAACGAGAGTTAAGCGCTTAATGAGTAAAACTGCAACTGGTGCCACACCGCGTCCACAAGAAATAGTAACTGCAGGCTGTCACCAGGCTGTTCGAGAACAATCTTTGCTCAACACACCTGCTTACCTCCCTGGAATAATTCTAGAAATGTAACCACATGAATAAACAAAGAGAATGTCGCTTTGCAATCATCTGTTGTGTATAAGCTGATGTCTTGCTTTCAGAAAATGCACTCAGATGCAACTGCTTCGAGTTGTCGTGTCTGTTTGTCACTCGCCGAATCCTTGCACCGCCCCGGGGCCTGTTCCTGTCGGACTGATTGCTCCCGCCGAGCCCGTCTGTCGCAAGCCATGACCAGGTAGGACTTCTGTTTTGGCTGCCCCAGGGAATCCTGGCAGGTGGCATGGGACACAGCTGCTTCACCGTGGGGGGGCCTGGTCGGTCCTGGAAAGACCCAGCATGAGGGGGCATGCCAGGCCCGCCCCAGGCCCTATCCTCCTCCGCCACCTGGTACATAGCACTCTTGCTGACGGTTTGGAGCTGCGTGTGTAGTAGATGGAGGGGTTGTGGCTGAGGCCTTCACAGATTCTAGTTTTATCTTGTCTACTGGGTGGGCAGAGGGCTGGTGGTGAGCTTGCTGTTGGTGGCAGCCGGCAGATGGGTTTCCCTTCCCAACCCTTATTGATTCCCACACTCACCAAAGTCCACACCAGCCTCACACAGGGCCACCTGCAGGCCCTCGTGCCTCAGCTGCCTGCCAACCTTCCTGAGGGATGGACACTGTTCTGGGGGGCAGAGAGAGGAGAAGTGGGCCACTACTCTGCCTGTCTCCCCCCGTTTCAGCCCTTTACCTGAAGCCAGGAGGTAGGGCCCCACACCCCAGCCTGACAGCCCCAGGGCCTCCCTCCTGCAGATCTTTCGCAGGAAAGAGCTCTGGGTGGACAGGTTGTAGAAGGTGCTGCACGTGGGCCGGTGGAGAGGGACAGGAGACAGACGGGTGAGAGCTCACCTAGCCCAGCCCACAAATCTCTGCCCACACAGGTCTGGCCCCATCCTTTCAGACTGGCCCTTCATCCTGGTCCTCGTCCCTCGGCCTCACTGGGAGGGCTTCCAGAAAGGCCACGGCCCGTTCCTCATCCCCAAGGCTGGACGCGCAGCCAGCCCCGACCCCTGCTCACAAGGCTTGTGGTACTCGGAGACCAGGGTGGCCTGCAGCACGTGGCGCCTGCGACAGCCCAACACTGTGTTCTCCTGGCGGGAGAGCTGGGGGAGGGAAGGGACACTGACCTCGTGGCCTCTGACCATGACCTGGGGCATCCACATCAGAAGAGCCGACTTCAGGGTGCATGGCCCGTGTGCAAACACCAGCCCAGGCTGATAGAGGGCCGGACCCTGGACTCTGTGCCCATACCCCTCTGGGCTGCCCAGGGCTGCCCCATCTTCTGTGGGTACAGGATGACAGTGCTGTCGTTGGAGCTGGTCTTGGTCCCATACTAAAAGGCATACCTCTGCACGTTGCTCGTGTCCTGGGGAGGAGGGGAGTGTGATTGGAGCTGGTGGAAGTCCTCAGACATGCTGCTGCGTTCTTGTGCAGCTCCAAACCCCAGCCCATCAGCGGGGGCCACGGAGGCCCAAGCCAGTCGGAGGGGTGGCCCGAGACCCCACAGGCACATGGCCACTGGGTCCACACAGGTGCACCCACATAGGTGCAAAGGTCCAAGCACTTGGGCCGACCTCTGCTACCTTCCCAGGAGCATTAGCAGGGAGCTGGGTCAGAAGAGGAGCAGCCAGGACGGGAACTGGCACCCGTGTGGGATATTGCTTAACGCGCTGCACCACAGCACTAGCTCTGTCT